AATAATGCAAGCACTCTAATCCTTGCCATAGTGAATGCACTTTAGCATTTGGTAAATACTACCCAGTGGATGTATTCAAAGCAGCAAAGAGTAAATCCATATAAAAATATACCTTGAATACTTTAATGTTTGCAAAGATCTTTAGAGGTTACTAGACCACTAAAAAAGCAAAAATATGTCCAAAGAACTTAAAATGTCTAAAGTTCCCTTTAGTTTTAAATATATGTACATTAAAGAAAATTTTAAAGCTATTTTTTTCATGATTGCTAAATACAATTGAAAGGCATCTCATATTATTTTAGACTGAGTATACAGACAGTTTACAACTGCTAAAAAAAATGAAATAGGTGTACAATAGTTACTCCTTTATCTGTGGTTTCGCCCCATGGTTTCAGTTCCCACGGTGAACCAGTTTGAACATATTAAATGGAAAATTACAGAAATAATTCATAAGTTTTACATTACGAGCTGTTTTGATTAACTTTATGAAATCTCACACCATCCCATTCCATCGTCGGGGAAGTGAATCATCCCTATGTCCAGCATATCCACACTATATAAGCTTCCCACCAGTAACTCACTTAGTAGTGTCTCCGTTATAAGACTGACAGTATTGCAGTGCTGTGTTCAGTAACCCTTATTTTACTTAATAATGGCCCCAAAACTCAAGAGTAGTGATGCTGGCAACTTGAATATGCCAAAGAAAAGCCATAAAATGCTTCCTTTTTAAGTGGAAAGGGTGTATGTACTAGGCAAATGGGAGAACTCTTGTAAATATAACAAAACATATGCAGGGCTTGTATGCTGAAAACTACATAATGCTGATGAAAGAAATCAAAGAAAATATAAAAAATGGGGAGAAATACTGTGTCCATAAGTTGGAAGACTCAACATAATAGAGATACCAATTCTCCCTAAACTGATATACAGACTTAATGTAATTCCTATAAAAATCCCAGCAACATTCTTTGTGATATAGATAAAACTAATCCAAAATTTATAATTAAAGGCAAAGGAACTAGCATAGACAAAACATTTTTGAAAAATAGAATAAAATGAGAGGAATCGGTCTGCTTTATTGCAAAATTTATTATTTAAATGAAGTAAGACTGTGCTAATAGAAAATCCAGAAATAGTTCCACATAAATATGCTCAACTGATTTCTGACAAAAGTGCAAAAGCAATTCAATAGAGGACAGACAGCTTTTTTGACAAATGGCGCTGGAGCATCCCTAGGCCAAAAAAATAACCCTTGAACTAAGTCTTGCACCTTATATAAAAATTAACTCAAAATGGGTGACAGGCTTAAATGTAAACCACAGACTGGAAAACTTTTGGAAGAAAAAATAAGAGACTACTTTTGGGATCTAGGGTTAGGTAAAGAATTCTCAGACTTAAAAAAAAAGTACAATCCACAAGAGGAAAAATTGAAAAAAAGGATTTTATAAAAATTAAAAACTTCTGCTCTGCAAAAGGCTCTATTAAGATATGAAAAAACTACAAACTTGAGAGAAAACATCTGCAAATCATATATCAAGGAAGGACTAGTATCCAGAATATATTTTTTAAAAAACACACCTCTAAAAACAACAATTAAAAAAACCCAATTAGAAAATGGGCAAAAGACTTTCACTGAACAGAATATGCAGATGGCAAATAAACCCATGAAAAGATGTTTAACATCATTAGTCATTATGGAAATGCAAGTTAAAACCAATCATTACATACCTATCAGAATGTCTAAATAAAAAATAGAAACACCAAATGCTGGTGAGGAAGTGGAGAACCCGATCTCTCTAACATTGCTGCTGGGTATGGAAAATGTTCAAAAACACTAGAAAACAGTTTAGCAGTTTCTTACAAATCTTTAAACCCAGTTACCATGTGATCCAGCAACTGTACTCTTGGGAATTTATCCCAGAAAACTGAAGAGTTATGTTTTTGTTATTTTACATTATGTGTTACTGTACATCAGTGTTCATAGCAACTTTATTCATAATAGCCCAACAATGGCAACAACCTAGATGTCCTTCAAACAAAGTGTGGTACATCCATACCACAGAATACTACTCAGCAAGTAAAAGGAACAAACTAATGATACACGCAACGACCTGGATGAATCTCCAGAGAATTCTGCTGAGTGAAAAAAGCCCAATCCCAAAAGGTTAAGTACTATGTGATTCTGTTAAAAGTCATGAAATAACAAAATTACAGAAATGGGGAAAAAGTTAGTGGTTGCTAGAGATTAAGGAGCTGGGGTGGAAATGAGGTGGGTGTGAGCATAAAAGGGATCCTTCTGGTGATGGAAAGTTATCTTCACAGTATCAATGTTAATGTCCTGGTCGTGGCCTTGTGCTATGGTTCTGCAAATGTTGTTATTGAAGAAAGCTGGATAAAGGGTACAGGGATTTCTATTGCATGTGAATCTACAATGATCTCAAAATGAAAAGTTTAATTAGAAAATAAAGGTAGCCTTATTGCTGTATTGCAAAATAAGTGCAGCAATTGATAAGAAATCCAACACCAAGAAAATGAAGTGCTCTCTTCTGCCCAAGTTTAATTCTGATTACTACGAACCAGAGTTTATAAAACACATTTTTTCTCACCCACACATGCACACAAACACAACTGTAACAAGGCATAGTCCAGGTAGAAAAACAAGACTTCTCTAAGTACATCCTAGGGCAGAAAGAAAGCTGCCTGAATCAGGGCTGTCCAGGTGCCACCAAAGAAACCGGCTGTATAACTTTGGACACATCACCTAACCTCTCAGGCTACAATCTGGACTCTGTTCCTGCAACAGAAACTTCTAACTCAGGAGATTGCTTAGATCAGTTCTCAAATTCTTTGGTCTCAGGCCCCCAGAGAGCTTCTGTTTGCATAGATTACATTTGTAGTATTAGAAATTAAAACAAAAGATTTGAAAGACAAGTATGCACGGAGACACATTCCATCGCCCTCGGAAGGTGAGGTCCCCATGACGTCGCCTCCGGAAAACTCCACGTGCCCTCACAAGGGAAGGAGTGTGAGAAAGGCGAGTAATAGCTCGGGATTGCTAGGAAAATAATTGTGAGCACACTTGGAGAACCGCTGGCTTACTAGCAAATGAGATGAAAATATATAACTGATTTGAAAGGTGTAAGACACCGGACAAATTAGTCACGTGTTATTTTAAAACACGAAGGTGCCAAGCGCCCCAAAAAAGGCGGGGAGAGGAGGCTCATCTCGCAGCAGCCCCGGCGGTTAGACGAAAGGGGGCGGGCGCCGGGACCCCGCGAGTCGAGTCGGGCCCAGGCCACAGCCGTGAAGACCACTCCCGACCGCCCGTCGGCTCGGCGCGCCCGAAACCGTTACACGCGAGGGACCCTCCATCACTGCTCCAGGTTTAACTTTCGGCAAAGACGGGAAGCCCTGCAAAAACCTGAGGCTCTGCC